CTTCTGTAGACAGCTTCGTTAGCACATAATCGAGCTGTGTTTAGAATTTTAAAACCCTTTCATCACGCGTAATTGTAGAACAATGAAATGAGGTACCAGTCTGAGGTTAAGTTCTAGTCTATTATAATTTTTTAAGATTTTTGATTCTAAAATCTACAAAGCAATACACACAGCAATGCTGCTGCTGGGATAATTTCCACTTTACACAGGAATCTTTTTTCCTGCTTTTTAACAGCACTCTTGCTCCAAAAGCTGGTAATGCAAGTGTTCCTCCTGGGCACAGGCTGTTGAGGAGGAGGTGAGGTGCCACCCAGGGTTAAATACCTGCACACAGGTCACCACACATTCCCTGATTATTTTATGTAGTTTCCCCTTTCTCCAGAGACTTCAACGCTTCCCTGTAAATGATGACAACAGACCAAAAGGAAAGCAGATCTTTAGAGAAAAAAAGGAAATCATTTATAAACACCTTCTGGAACTTCAGTTTCAACTTTTCTACCTGATAGAACACAATCCTGTTACGGACAAAATGACAATCTAGTGATAATTTCAACTCCATTAAATGCAGTATTTTTAATTCCCTAGAACTGTTCTTCTTCTGAGAATAACCACTGACGTGGCCAGGATGAACACTGCTGATGACAAGAGTTACAGCTGCAGTCACAGTGCCTGGCTTTGGTTAGTGATTTTTCACATATTCAGTGACACCTGCTGTTTATATTTGGAGGCTCTAGGGGCCCCAAACTCCACCACTTCACTCTGGTGCTCTGCTTCAACACACTGCCTAAAGCTCACTCACATAGTCCCAGATAGGGTTCTTTGCTTTATCAACATGCCATGATACCAAGAATATTTCAGACTTAAGTTCTAAGCACTGGAAGAACATATGATTAGAGCTTTTTGTCTGTTCCTCAGGCCCTGGTGAGAGTGTGCTGGCTGTACCAATTTGCTTCTCAGATTCTCTCACACATAGTCTCAGCTAAAAGGCCACCATCAAGTAGCCTGTGTCCAGCAGGGTCAAGGGCTCTTTGGCCAGAGGGAACACCTCAAAGTCAGAGCATCAGTGTCAACAACATCACACTGTCACATAGGCCACTGCCCATGTCTGTGCTTCCAGGCTCCAGTAATGAGTTTAATGATATTTCTTCAAAGATACTTTGCTTCATTCCTTAAAAATAAGGATTTTTACAAGCCCATGAAAAGATGAAGATGCAGGGCAACAACAGATAGGAAAGCCTTAGACATGAAGATGTCCTGGGCCAGGAGCCAGCACACGGCACCACAGGGTAGACACAGCAAAGAGCCTGAGAGATACGGCAGGTCCTCTCTAGGAATTCTGCGCGATGTCACCAACAGTCTCCTGAACACCTGAGAAAATCTGACCTGTGTTTCCCAAGACTTTCTGCAAAGGTCCATCAAGAGTCAGTAATCATAGAAAGCAGAGTTCGATGAAGCCCTGAGGTACCAAGCTTAGGGGTCTGGCTTCTGCCCCTGCTGGTCAGGTTACCTGCTTGTCCCTCAGTCAGCCTCCCCAGAATCCCATTTTTGACCAGCCAGCCGGGCAGGCGCTGTGCTGTGATGGGAGCCTCAGCTCACATTGGCATCAGGAGGGGTGGGTATGGGGCTCCTCAGGACAGGCCCACAAACAGATCCCTCCCTACACATCCAGAGGAGCCAGGGGTAGGGCCAGATTCTTCTCCAAACCAGCTATGATTTCACATCAACACTGGTCTATAGAAGTAATGTGCCATTTAAATAATCTAAAGGGGTTTCCCTAAAGGTCTGTACCTAATTCTTAGCCTATAAGCATTTAAAGCAAATGGCAACCAAATGCTTGCTCTCCTATATAAAGATCTCAAGAACCTGTAACTTCAAGCAAATTTCTGGAGATTGTCAAAATAAATTAGCTATAAAACAGCTTTAACTGGGACTTGCTGAGGGAAAGTCAAATGGCTGGGCCGTCAGTGGGCAGAAGCACCAAGACCCCAGCACAGCTCCACTTCCCTGCCGGCCTCCTCTTCCAGCCCAGCTGCTCTGAAGCCACTGATTAGGACTGTGGGGAGGCTGCAGGAAGTGGCCACACCTACAGAGAAACACAGAAGAAACCTGTTTAAAGAAAGTGCTGTGGCTTAGGCTATTTGGAGGGGCGAAGACATTGTTTTACCAGCCGATGTCCAGAGTGTCAGAGGCAAGGGCTGCGGCTGGCAACAATCACTTTCTGGCATCATGGAGCCAGCATTCCCTACTCGAAGGGCACACACAGCTCAAAGCTTCCCTTAGGAAGCTTCCACACATTACCACCCCCTCAATATCCATAGGTCCTGGGTTCCAGGACCCCTGTAGATAGCAAAATATGATAGTCTCATACTCAAGCCCTACAACGGGCCACGCGCAACCCAGAGACACCAAAAGGTGGCCTCCGTATAGGCAGGTTTTACATCCAGCAAATGCTGCTGGACATGGAACTCATGAGGGTGGAGAGCAGACTGTACTTACTAAGAAAAGTCTATGTGAAAGCAGCCCCCCAGTACTGCTCGGGGTCATGTTTCAGAGGAAACCACTGCTGACGAGTTGTGAATAAAAACTATGGCAGGCTCCACCTGCAGCCGTTTGTGGAGAAATGCCAGGAAAGCCACCACAACACCGCGGCAACACACTAGAAAACTCTGTTTACAAAACCTGTCAATAAGTGACATAATCTAGTGATTTTCAAACTGTGTTCAAAAAGGTGCAGCAGCTACTCTAGGGGAGGACACCACCTGTACACTCCAGACTGAGGCCCCCCAAGAGGCAGGATAGCTCCAGCCAGACTGAACTGCAATAGCACTGACAGCCATTCTGAATCGAACTCCAAGTACATCTGCAGAATCCAACTAGGCACAAAATTAGAACTGCCAGACCAAACACAGAGCTTTAAACCAATACTTGTGCTGATGGCTTCCTTCTATACTCATCACACCCATGTCCCTGAATGCATGCTCAGGGTATGTAGGAATACCCCCGGAAAAGTTAACTTTATGTTAACACAACACTCCCTGGAACATTCATAAAATGGAGGAGAAACACACGGAAACGGAGAAGGAAGCGTTTTAAAGTCAACATCCTATTGCTGTGACTTTCTTTAAAGCAGGGATTCAGCTGCCACCCATGGATTGGTGGCACAATAACCAGTGAGCCTCTTGGAATTACAGGAATGCCTTTGGTGCCACCTAGATGCTTCATCAGAGGAGAAACGAAAACATATCAGTTTCTGAAAGAGCCCTGTGATGACGAACCATTGCTGTAAGGCATCCCAAGATCTTAAGAAAAAAAAAAAAAGATGATAGTGAAAAAGGAGGCTACAAACTTCTGGAAACTTATCATCAAACAAATTACCTGGCTGATTGATCCATGCACTGGGGTTGGTCAGATTCACTAGGTTAACTTACTTGAATGTTTCTACACTAAGGAGCTATATAACCAAGTGACAAACCGTGGCTCCAGTGGCTCTTTCTGTATAATCAGAAGACCAGAATGAAAGCCCTGAAGAGGTCTTCCATTGAGTGAACATATTGACTCTGGGTTCACTTCGAAGGTTATGGGCTGACAGATTGAGTACTAATCAGGGCTCAAGTGAAGGTCAGATAACCCCTCTGATTTCCAGCTACCGTGCCCACTGAGCCCACAGCCCTGTCTGTCTGAAGAAGCCATGCAGACAGCTCCTGCTCAGCATGCAGCCTGAACCTCTCATGTCCACCCATTAGCAATCAGTGGGCAGCATCAGGACCGGGGCAGCATCAGGACCCAGGCTCCATCTCCAAACAATGTGCCGAGGCTGCTTCTCTAGCTGGTAAGTGGAGCCAGGGCATTGTGCGCTGCCATGAAAATACAGTCCTCACTTCTGTGGAATCAGTCATCTAGCAGATATTCAACAAAGGCAGGCTGGTATGAGCCACAGGGTGAGGGAGTGGTGCCCACAGGAAAGGTAACTTTCTCTCCAGAGGGAAGGTCTGGCACCCAACCCACTCCAAGGATTGCTCACTTTTCACTGTAGTTTCTGTTCCTTAGGATCAGAACAGCCACAGGGACATGTACACACACTGTGTGCCCACGTGTCAATCCAATCTCAGAACATAACATAGATAATTCAGACATAATTTGGACACATATTCAAGCACTTCATGAAAGGAAGGATAGCCCTTTGTGAGACTGGAACTAACTGGTACTAACAGCTACGGAGCCCTGCCACCTGGACCCAGCCTGTGAAGTCACACGCTGTGGCCAACACAGCCTTGGCTACAGGATCTGGTTCGTGCACTTTCCTTAACTATGAAGCAGAACTACACCAAGTTTTACAACTGAGTTTCATAAAATTTACAGGAATGTAAAGACGTACACACACCCAAGAGTTAATACTTCAATCACAAGTCTGAAGCCTGCGTAGTTAAGACCTGTACTCAAAGCCGCCTGAGTTTTCTTAACTTGTAAAAAGGGAAAGAGGACCATTACTGCAGGAAAAAAGAAATGAATGCGTATCTTCCCCCCAAAGAGCAACTCCAGATCGCTAAGAAATTTTGTTTTAACTCAAAATGCCCCTCGGTTGGTAAAATCACAACTGGCGCCTGTCCATCTGTGAAATGCTTGGGTCCTCTTTCTGATGTTCTCATGGAGCGCAGCTCCTTGGGGCGCCTCTGCCAACCCCGCTGCAGCTATAGTGGAAGGTGGCCTCGAGGCACTTTCTGGTCAAGTGCCCGTCCCGAACCCCCTCTTCGGGACCTGCCCCTGCTCCAGACCCAAGCCTGCCCCCGCACCCTCCCAGCACAGCACAGCACAGCATCTCCCTATCTCAAGACTCGTCTCCCTTCCTGGCGGCCCAAGATCCGGAATCCCCTCTCCCCTGCCCAGGACTCAGGAGACCCACCCCTGGCCCAGGAGGCCTTCGCCCTGAGAGCCACTACTCACCGCCGCCATCCTCCCCTCCCAAGCCCTGGAACATCAGCCTTCCAGTGCAGCACACTCACCCGGGGGCCACCACCTGACCAGGCTGCACGCACAGTTCCCGCACCACGCCCGCGTGCTCCGACCGGAGCCTGCGTTCGGCCCGTGCGGCGCGCACGCTGCCCCCAGATGCTGCGCGGGACGGGGTGGGCCCGGAGGGCTGCGCGGTGGCGGCGGCTTCGTACACAGCCAGCACGGAACCTATGCGCACAGCCGCGCCCACCGCCACCTTCCACTCAAGCAGGCGCAGTGGCGCGGGGCCCGGGCAGCGCACCTCGGCCACGCCCGCCTGAAGGGCGCCCTCGGAGGGAACGCGGCCCGTGACCGGCGACTCCATCGAGAATGCAGAGCAGGCGGCGGAGTTGTTTTGGCGGCTCCGCTCCAGCACCGGCTTCCACCCGCCGTCAGCCCGCGCCGGCTTCCTGGAGCGTGCTGACGTCACGACGGTCCGACGTGCGTCGCGTGCGTGCATTCGTACGCTCAGGGCCTCAAGTAAACAAGGCGCTTACGAGGGTCCAGAGAAGCTGCTCCAGCAATGGGCCCGGAGTTGTTTTGGGACCAACACTGTGTGCCACACACGGGAGCATTGCGGCATTTCGGGCTTCAACGCGGGCTTCCCGAACTATCACATGCCAGCTCCACTTCTTACTACGAGTTCCGGCATGCAGCGCGAGCCCTCTCTTCGTCTCCCGTCGCGCACAGCGAGTTCCAATGACGCGAGATTACGGATCTGGAGTGACGCACGTGAACCCAGATCGCCTCGTCGTAGCGAAACTACCAGTCCCGGTGTGCCGTCTGCGCCGCGGATCTGCCCGGGCGAGTTCCCGCAGGTGCTGGGGCGCGGGTCCTGTATCCCGCGGCAGGAGTTTCCAGGAGTAGTGCGGAGCGCTCCGAGCGGGGCGTGGAGTAGGGAGCACTTTGCCCGTCGGCCTCGGGTGCGTGGCAGTAGCCGGCCGTCAGCAGAGCTGGTGCAGCCCCAAGCGAGGCGGATGCAGCGGTGGCTGTTTCTGGGAGGTCGTTGAGCAGAGGGCAGGCGCTGTAACGGCGCAGGCAGTGGGCTGGGCTGTGTCGATCTTTAATTTCAAATCCCGGCTCTGGTCCACTGCAGCCGGACTGTGGGGGGGCCCTCCTGAAGGTCCAGGCGCACTCCTAGCCCGGTAAACTTTACTTTTCGCCTCGCAGCTCGGACCACACTTTGCCTTTTCTCCATCGCAGTGAGCGTTGTAGGCCAAAAGTCCCATTCTAACGCCGTCCCTCAACTGCACCGGCCCCTGCTGGCCGGAAAAACCTTCCAACTGCGGTCCCAGCCAGGAAGGGGTTGGGGGATGAGCTTTCCTTTTGGAGGTTAAATGCTGCCTCTACCGTTTGCCTCTGTTATGGAAATCACGGTCTGGCGGGGGCTCACGCCTGTAACCCTCACCCTGGGAGGCCGGGTCTGGGAACCCCTGGAATTTAGACGTTGAGGCTGCCGTGAGCTAGGCTGATGCCACTGCACTTTGTAGTTAAGCCGACAAAACACGCTGTAGAAATAAGGCCCTAAATTATCAACACGAATAGGACCTAAGGCCTTCAGGGCCAGGGGTGAGTCAGCCTGCGAGCCTGAGCCTTCGGTTTGCTTATCGGATCTGTGTGTTGTCGGTTGTCTGTGATGAGCAGACTTCCTTATCTCAACTTAGCACATTCCTTTTTTTTACTGAAACCAAGCCTCAAAGCTTTACTCTTTAATCAATTACCATGAAAGAGTTCTCTGAACCTACCTATAACCTGCAAGACTCTCCTGCACACCTTTTAAGGCCAAACCAAGGTGCCTTCTATGTATTTATGATATCATCTGCAATTCCTGGCTCTCTGCAGTGTATAAGACCAGACTGTGACCTAGGTGCCTTGGGTGGCTTTTTCGGAAACCCTAAAGATGTATAGCCCTGGGTATTAGTCACTCCTTGGTTCAGAATAAACCTCTTAAAATTATTTTAGAGTTGCTTTTTTCCCCATTAACAGTGGCACTGTTATCTCTTTTTCTTTGTGTATCTGTCCTTACATGTATACATTTTGTATGCAATTGAGATTGTCCTATATTTCATTCTCACTCAGCATTATATGGTAGCTTTTCTCATGTTAGTAAACATGGAAACTACATTAATCTTTAATTATAACAGCAGCAGAATGAGTGTAGTATCTTTTAGCCATTGTCACCTTTTGCTATTACAAGGGCATTTTTTTTTTTGTAGCTGCAAGATTTTGTCTGTCCATGTGTCAGATTTTATGTAACAAAATTGTGCGTTTTTCATTTGGCAGGGCCCCCCAGGTTGATGGTCATATAACATGAGCATGCTCAGATGATGCAAGTGTGTAACCACAGGGAACCCAAGTTCTGGGACAGAGTATTGGGAATTGGCTTGGGGACTGGATGAGAAGTGGTTGCCGCCTTGCAGGATCCAGTCAGATCCCGCCTCATGACCCTCTGGCTATAAGACCTGCTCCAATCCACAGCTTGGGAAGACAGATTTGAGTCCAGCTCTGTGCTTTTGTTTTGGTCACCTGACAATAAATGTTTCACAGTGCAGAAATCTGGTGATTTTCTGTTTGGCTTTATGTTGAATATGTTCAGAACAGACCTAGTTTGGTTCATTTACACCTGCCTGCTTTCTCCAGCCCCTTCCGCTGTGTCTGCAAGAGCAAACATGGTACTGGCCAGAGACCTTTCCTGGAACTTTTTTTAAATGAAGGTTGCAGGAATATTGTGCAGCAGTGAGTTAATTTTTCACTCGTTTGGAATCCATTAAAAACAGCAACCAAACAACAAAACTAAATATTTACAATACAGATGGTGAAAAATCCCTGTGAACCCCAAATACTGTGAGGAGAAACTCCACCATGCAAGCCTTGGGTAGTGTAGAATGAGAGAAGCGGGTTGATGTAGAGGTCTCCATGCTCAGCATCTATGGATTTATCTTAAAGAGCATTGACACATGCTCCCATTCTCTACAAGGGTTAGGCTAGTATTTATTATCGCAGGCAGTGTATGAACTTTAATTTAAAAAAAAATCTGGGTGTGTTCCCATTTGATCCTGCAATCCCACTATTAGGCATCTATCCAGAAGGAAAAAAAACCTTTTTCTATAAAGACACTTGTACTAGGCTGTTTATTGCAGCCAATTTACAATCGCTAAAACATGGAAACAGCCTACATGTCTTTCAACCCAGGAATGGATTGGTAAGCTGTGGTATATGTACACTATGGAGTATTATTCAGCTATCAAAAAAAAATGAAGATTTTACAGCATTTGTAATAACCTGGATGGAGGTGGAACACATTATTCTTAGTAAAGCATCACAGGAATGGAGAAGTAAGAATCCTATGTATTCAACTTTGGTATGAAGACAATGACAATGACATGGTGGGGCATGGGGGAAGGGGAGATCAGATAGAGAAGGAGGGAGGGGGTGTGGGCAAAAAAAAAAAAAAGACTAGTTCTCACAAGCTGGATTTAATTTTGATCAATGTATATTAAACATCAATTTTTAATTCAACATGTCAATATGTTTATCATATTGCATCCTTATTCATCAGTGAAATATTTCTGTAATTTCCCCTTTATAATATATTTTTTCTAATTTTACTATCAGGGGTACCCAGATTAAGTAGAATGATTTTGAAGTATTTCTGTTTCTACTGTCTATAAGACTTGGCGTGATCTGCTTTTTTTAAAAGAAATTATTTTTTACTTTTATTTATGTATGTTAGTCATCTTTTTTTTTAGACTTTGGTAAAAACATAATAAGGAAAAAGAATTTGTTTGCTATTTGTATTTTGTCTTGTGTATTCTGTAACAAACAAGTAGTAAATGATTATGTATTAAAAAAATTGTACAGCTCTTGTTAAAGCAATATTGATAGGTACTTTCTATTTTGGTTGCTGATTCAATGCTATCTTTCTTTTTCTAATATTATTTTGTAATTCATTTTTACATAGGAATATAATCAATTTTGTATAGTTATTTTGAAGTTAGCTACATTGCTGAATTTTTCTATTTTTGATAACTTGCAAGTAACTTGGTAACTCAGAAGTAATGAAATTTGTATTTTTTTACAAATCATTGGGATTTTTAAATTATAATTGTATTAGCTAGGATCTTCAACTTCACTAGGAGCGGTGGTAATGAGTACACTTATCTCATAATTGATTTGTAGATAATGCTTTTGTTTCCTCATAAAATTGATATACTTGTCCCAATGTTATCTTTAATGATTATGTCAATGTTTTGCCTGTAGTCGATGTTCTGTAAATATTCATGGAATAAAGGAGTCTGAAATAAAAAAGAAAAAAATCTGGGTGTGGTGGCTCCTGCCTGTAATCCTAGCACTTTGAGAGATCAGGGTGGGAGGATCACTTGAACTCAGGAGTTTGAGACCAGCCTGAGCAAGAGCAAGACCCTTGTTTACTAAAAACAAAAACCAGCTGGGTGTTGTGGCTGGCTCCTGTAGTCCCAGTTACTTGGGAAGCTGAGGCAGGAAGATCGCTGGAGCCCAAGAGTTTGAGGTTGCTCTGAGCTAGGCTGACGCCAGGGCACTCTACCCATATGACAGAGTGAGACTCTCTCAAAATAATAATTATATAAAATGGGAAGGACCATATGTTATTCGATATATATATGTCATTGATTGAATTGATGGATGGATAGATAACAGCTAGCCATAGATGATCATAACTAACCTGAGTAGATGCCTGTGTTTTTTAAATCAATTCAAAGTAGAGATGATAGCATGTGAAGCTTAGATTAATTGGTTGGCTTTCATTAAATTTTATTTTCATTAATCCTTTAATTTCATTAATTGGCTTTCATTAAAATCAGTCATCCTGGGGCAGTGGCTCATGCCTGTAATCTCAGCATCCTAGAAGGCTGAGGCAGGAGGATAGCTTTTGCTCAGGAGTTGGAAGTTGAGGCAGGAGGTTCTCTTGAGACTAGGAGTTCAAGGTTGCAGGGAACTATGATGATGGCACTGTACTGTAGCCCATGTGACAGAGATTGTCAGACCAGATGTTTTAAAAGATCCAACTCTGTGATTTAGGGGAAACACACATTAGATTCAAAGATAAAATGGTGGGGGGTAGTGCCTGTGGCTCAAAGGAGTAGGGCTCTGGCCCCATATACTAGAGGTGGTGGGTTCAAACTTGGCCCTGGCCAAAAACTGCAAAAAAAAGAAAAAAGATACAAATGGGCTAAAAATAAAATAAAAGAATGGGAACAGATCCATCTGGGTAAAGTTATTGGGGGACAGGGTAGCTGTACTAATACTAGACAGAACAGACTGCAAGGCAATTTGTGAAAGAGAGAGGGACTTTCATAATGATAATCTGTAAAAAGGTAGATTAATTATAAACGTGTACACCTAACAACAGAGCCTCAAAATACATGGAATAAAAACTGACAAAAAGAGAGATAGGCCCCATAATCCAACTTCAGCAATGAATAAAACTGGGCCTAAGACAAGGACAGAGGAGGTGGAGGCAGCGCTGTGGTCAGTGAGCCCTGCCCCGAGTCTGTAGAGCTCCCTGGCCATGCACACCCTTGGCTCCCACCAACAGCTACGTGCCACAGTGCCTGAAATAAGACTCAGGAAATGTAAAAGGATTGAGATCATACCGAGTTTGTTCTGTCCCCATGACAGAAAAAACTGGAAACCAACAGCCAAAAGAAATTGGGTGAATTTAATTCACAGTTGTGTGGAAATTGAATGACACACTTCCAAATAACTAGTGGGTCAGAGAACCATAAAATGCTTCAAGATGAATGAAAATACAAACAACATACCAAATTTTATGGAGATAAAGCAGTGCTTAGTGGGAAGTTACGACTGAAATACTTATGTTAAAAAATAAGAAATGGGGCAGCGCCCGTGGCTCAGTGGTATGAGGTCGGCTCCATATACCAAGGGTGGCAGGTACAACCCAGCCCCGGCAAAACTGCAACAAAAAAATAGCCGGGGCTGAGTTGTACCCGCCACCCTTGCGGGCGTTGTGGCGGGTGCCTGAGGTCCCAGCTACTCCGGGGGCTGAGACAAGAGCTGGAGGTTGCTGTGAGCTGTGACACTACAGCACTACTGAGGGCAACAAGTAAGACTCTGTCTAAAAAATCAGAAATGAATCAATAATCTAGCTGTTGAGCATAAGAAATAAGAAAAAATGAGCAAATTGAACCCAAAACAAACAGCAAAGAAATGATTAGAAATAAATGAAAGAATATAAAGATAGTAGAGAAAAATTAATAAAACCAGAAGGTAATTCTTTGAAAAGATCAACAAATTCAGCTTGAACTAAATTGACCATGGAAAAAAAGGAACAGATGAGAAAATGTCATTACTTACCTTACAGAAATAAAAAGGGTTGTAAGAGAATATTATGAACAGTTGTATGCCAACAAATTAGACAATTTAGATTAAGTGGACAAATTCCTAGAAAACACATACACAGAAATTGAAGAAGGTATAGAAAATATAAATAACCCTATAACAAGTAGATTGAATTAGTAGTTTTATTTATCATTTTAGAGATAGGGCCTTGGCTCTGTCAGCCAGGCTGGAGTACAGTAGTATCACAACTCACAGCAACCTCCAATGCCTGGTCTCAAGTGACCCTCCTGGCTTGGCCTCCTGAGTAGCTTCCATGCCAAGTTAATTTTTTATTTTTTGTAGATTCATGACCTTGTTATGTCACTCATGCTGACCTCAAACTCTTGGCCTCAAGAGATCTTCTCACCTTGGCCTCCCAAAGTGCAGATGTGAACAACCACACTGAGCTGAATCAGTAGTTTTAAAACTTTTCCCAAGGAAAACTAGCCTTAGGTGGCTTCACTGGTTAGCATACCAAACATTTAGAGAACAGTTAAGACAATATTTGAAAATCTTCCAAAAATAGGAGAGGATACACTTCCCAACTCATTCTAAAAGGCCAGATTATTGTGATACACAAACCAAAGATTTTGCAAGAAAACTACAGACCAATATCTTTTGTTAATATAGGCTCAAAAACATCAATAAAATGCCAGCAAACTGAATCCAATGACAATCAAAAGATGTTATATGCTATGACAAAGTGGGATTTATTTGAGGAAAGCAAAATTAACATCAAAAATTGAATAATGTTATGAATACTATATTAATAAAATAAAGGTTATAATCATCACAGTAGATAGGAAAAAGAATGTGAAAACACCCAACACTCTTTCCCGATTTGAAAGAACCCAACTCTTCAGCTTCTTGATAAGCAGCATCTACAAAAAATCTACAGCTTACATCAAACTGAATGGTTAAAGACTGAATGCTCTCCTCAAATCAGAAGCAAAACAAGGATGGCCCTCTTGCCACTTCCTCTTAGAAGCACAGAAGACTCTAGCCTGCACAATTAGACAAGAGAAAAACAAAGCATCCAATTGGAAAAGAAGAAATAAAATTCTATCTGAAGATGATTTGGTCCTTTATGTAAAAGAAATCTTATGGAATCCACTAAAAAAACTTAGAAATAACCATGTTCAGCAATGTTACAGGATACCAAGTATATTTCTACATA